AAGGACTAGAAATCGTATATGGGGCCCATTTCTTAGACACATGGTAAATATCTCCTTGCGAGAACAATTCATTCACAAATAGCTGCAATATTCAACTAATACGCTTGAAACTTGTGCTCCCATTAAACTTTGCGCGCTTAGAGTTTAATTTTTGGAGTTAAGGTTTGCAAAGGACAACCTTTTTTTGATTGGCTGTGTGTTATAAGAAACGGTATTAAGTTAAAGTTAAAGTATTAAACCAAAAATGATCTTGTCCCGCACCTTAGCTAATCTCACTTTTCTACTCAATATTTGTGCCCTGTTACTCTGTTAGGTTGTTACCATGTCATTGTGCAGTGATACGTCATCCTATAACGACTATAACGCGCCACTGCGCCTACTTCAGAAAAACTGAAAAAGTGCAATATGCATTCAGAATGTGCGAAAGTCCAGTTGTGTATTTTGGACCATAATGGCAAGATAGAGAAACTTAGTAGGTAAAAAAGTGAAAAGTATAAGGCAAACAATTAATCAGGAACGGAGTTTATGGCATATAAGCATTTAGCACAGCTAGACTTGCCCCAAGTCGACTTCTGCTAATACTATTAAGTTGAATCGCCTACTAATTGAACTACGTACTAACGACGAAGTCCACAGCCTGTTGTTTATACGATTCACGTTTTGTTAGTCTGGAATAGTGGAGCGTAATTATCATGCAGTTGGGTATCATCAACTATGAAATGTGAATGCATAAAAAGATAGTAATGATAGTTTTAATACAAGACCTGGATGATGAAATGGACCGCAGAAACCAGACTGCGGTTTACAATCAAACGGAAGTGACGTTTTCAATTTATATTTTCTAAGAAATTATCATAATATAGGCGGAAGTCAAATTAGTCATTGTAAACACTCAACAAATTTGGTTTCGTTTTGTAGATTCAGATTTCAACTCATCGTATGCGCAAATATAAATATTAAGGATGAACACTAAATAATTGTATGAGGCAAGGAATTGTTAGTGGCGACATATTGCACATTCTGTCGAATTTAATAGTACATTTACAGGTAAAAGCAAAATGAAAGTATTGAATATATATTAAGAATTTGTAAGATGTAGTTTCGGTTTCAGTTATTAGGCTTAGGCTAGGCATATGTTGCTACATTTTAGGTCTACTATACAAATTGTATGTAGTATAGCATTCATAAGGATTTCGAGTTAAACTCTACAATCACTATATAATTGTCGAACTCCAGAAGTCACTCTTGGACAGTACAATTGCACATATAAATTTACCGCTGCAGTATTGTAAATATACTATGCCATGATAAATACTGCATGCAAGCAAACGGAAAAAATTCGCATTATATTCTTTTAAATGGTAGCTCCACTCACCTCCAAGAAGGAGCGCGTCGAATAACGACATCCTCGCTCGATTTTGCTGTATCTCAAATGAGAATGGCGCTCTGAGAACTCCGAATGATTATACAAGGTATTTTGAATTTAAAATTTTATGTCGATGTAAACAATCGTTTCCAGATTCCTTTCTTCGTAATAATTTCATGTGAATTACCGCCTGGAGGTAAGTGGGTGTATTTCCTGTTTCCCGATGTTTCCTTTCGTTTTCGGAGAGACCGGAGAATGCAAGCGAAGCAATTTGTGTGAATCGTCCAATTTGTGTGAATCGTCCAATTAGTAATTCAGTTACATTTTATCGGCATGTAGTAAAAGAAGGAACACCGGAATGGCGGAATACCGGAATGGCGGAATACCGGAATGCCGGAATACCGGAACATCGTTTTCATTTTGACGGAAAGTTAAAAGGAAGTATTTTAAATCCGATCTGTAAAAGGAATTTAAATATATTTATAAAGGCTATAAACAGGCAAAAATTACAGGAACCACTGAGTATTTTAAGCATGAATACAAATGCGAAAAAAGTTGTCCTCACTGGAATGGGATGAAGATCTGCTCCCATACCATCGCTGCGGCTGAATCGAATGGAGATTTATCGAAATTTCTCGTGTGGTACAAGCAGAAAAGAAGTACCAAAGCAGCAAATTTGTCTGCGGTTGTGCGTACAGACATGCCACAACATCCCGGAAGAAAAGGCGGTGTACCTGTTACATCAAGAAGAGCAACTCCTAAACTACCCGTTGATGCACGACAAAAGCGCACATACAGTAAATCTACTGAAAATTTGTCTATTGTAACAGAGGTACCAAATACAAACCCATTCTACGTTAAAAAGATGAACATTCGAATTGAAGTATGCCAAGGATGCAGGGGTCCTCTGAAGTCGGCAGGGAAAGAAATTCAGCCCCCGCCGTTTGATTACTGTATTGCGAGGAGGGAAAGACGACCATACAGGGGTGACAATGGCCAACTGAAAACTCCATCCCGACAGTCAGATGCACATTATCACCTGCGAGCAGCATGCGTTAAAGCTGCAGAACCGTCATTTGTAACATCTTCTCTTGTGATACCTGACGACATCCAGCTAACAGAAGTTCATGAATGCTATCTCGTCCATGAGTTTGGGCTCAATTTCGTTGCGAGATAGAGACATCGAATTCAAGACTTTGTTATAACATATATGACATTTGGCTGACATATGACAATATATCCTTTACAGAATAAAATAGGGATTTTTACTTGTTGTTTACGTTACGTTGTGACACAACGTTGTTGTGTTATGTTATGTTTCAGTGACCTACTCAGTAGGCTACTCTGTAGGCTTACAGTAGGCTACTGTAATATTGTCGGTTTCAGGTCACTTTTCAAAACGCGGTTCCGGTTTGTTGTGAATATTCCCATTCAGCTTTTTAAATTTGGAATATTGAGCGTGGAATTACAATTTAAGTTGCTTGCTCAAATACCGAAGTACTGAACTGGAATACCGACGTAGCGATCTTAAACTCGTAATTTGCAGTGTTTTACTTATATAGCCAACGAATTAAACGTATTTCTCAAGACTTAATAAATAATTGGGAATTACCAACAAACAAACTAGGGAACCACGCTTTGAGAGGTGATCTGAAATCCACAATAACTAGTGTATTGTTTACATTTACTTAATTCAAATTCACGTCGAGACTTTAATTTAAATTAATCAGCGAATCCTGTTAGAATATAACTGGGATATTAGTTTTATTCACACGAATATATGTATTCCTTCGAGGAAAACAACTTATGAGATGTCTCACAAGAAAATGTTTAGCAACAACTCGTAATGCAAGTCGTTGCCGACCCAATCGAATTTCAAGTAACACCATTTACATGGTGAAACGTCGCCAAACATTGTCTTGTGGGACATCGCGTTATTAAGTGTTTGTGTGCGTTTGATATCCTTGTAAATAAGGTCTACTAAACTGCCGCATTGAATAATACTGTATCATGGGCGTACCGGAAGGAAAAATTTAGGGGGGCGGCAAGAAATTTGCCTGACTTTTCCCGATTTTGCCCGACAATTACCGAAAAAACGTCGCCAAAAAAATTTCGGTCAGTGTACCATTTTAGGGGTCACAAATTTTTTACGGACATACAAAAATTTTCCGGAACCTACAAAAATCAGTTGGAAACATTACAAAATTTTCCACAAAATTTACAGAATTTGTCCCATTTATTTTTTTAATTAACCGAAATTGCCCGACTGTTCAGCGAATATTGCCCGACAGCCCAACAAACTGGGGGGCTGCCGCCCCCCCCCCCCCCCCCCCGCCCGGTACGCCCATGTACTGTATATATATTGACATTTTTTATTCATGTTTAAACGCCTTAAATAAAAAATTCCTTATGGACTTGAAATATTTTTTTAAATTGTCCTTCAAAAGTAAAAATACTATTCCGGTGTTCCGGCATTCAGGTGTTCCGGCATTCTGGTATTCCGGCATTCCGGTATTCCGCCATTCCGCCATTTCGGTATTCCGGTGTTCCTTCTTTTACTACATGCCCATTTTATCCTATATATTCTATATTAAATCACAATCGAGAAATGCGAAGGAAAGAAACACGAGTAATAGAATAGAATTTTGTATGATCTGAACCTCTATTATTATGTATCGATGACTTCCTTTATATCACTATAAAGTTGATCAAAGACATCAAAGTGCATGTATTGATTGCAATAAAAATATGTTGAACTGTTTAAAGTTTCCTTAAGTGAAAAATGTATTCCTCACGTAATTTTAAGTAATATTCACGTAACGTAACGTTGTCGACGGGGGGGGGGGGGG